CTGAAGAATATCTACCGAAATTTGCAAAATCTAAAATCACATGCTTCACTTCCTTGTCTTTACATTCAAATTATTCATGATCTTGAAATTTCTTTAGAAATTCTAAGGTTTCAGATCTTGAAGAATACCTTTGAAATTGGAAAAAACAGTCCTTCTATTTCTTTTGAAAGCGTTTCTTTAAAATTGAACTGTCCATCTTATATATCTTTAATAATTCCAAGGTTTCAGATTCTGAAGATTATTTCTCAGAATGGGCAAAATCCAAAATTGCATTCCTGCAATTCCTGTTTCTTTAAATTCTTTCTTCTATGGCCGCCTTTTAATAAGGACCCCAAACGGGACCAGATTTTACAGAAGTGACCACACCTACCTTGGCTGCACTCAGAAGGGTAGCTCAAAAATTGAGTTTTTAGCTGCCTTATTAGGAAACCCAATAAACCCAAAAAGGCTAAGGCTAAAGTTACAATAAAGCCAAAGCTACAAGGAGGCCTTAACAGCCAGCCACACAGAGCGACACACTCGATGAAACTCTGTGGGCAAGACCTATGCATCGCTCTCTGGCTGGCCAACTAAGGGCTGAGGGTTTAGGGTTTAGGGTTTAGGGCTGAGGGTTTAGGGTTTAGGGTTGGGATGTTCCCCCTTGTGCTAGCTAGCAGTCCTTAAGGGGGAAACACACGTCTCGCTATTCTAGTCACTGCATGTTAGTAAAGGGGGGAACATCCCAAGGTTTAGGGCTCTAAGGCTTTAAGGTTCTGTCGGGCACTCTTTTTTAGAATTATACAAATCTTATGGGGATTAAAATAGGGATGATATCGGTATTCGGTGTCACGCTCTGCCCGAGCCCTTTACCCTGAGCCCTCAACGGCTCAGCTCTCAACCGTTTACTTCAAAGAAAAATGAAAGCCCCTCAAGCAACAAAAAAAATTGGTTCTTAATAGGGAATGATGGAACTATAAGGCACTAGATATGCACTTTAGGGGATTATCTAGGGTACCCCAAGTTCTTAGTAATGCGGAAATTAAAAGGCCCTAAACCCTAAACCCTAAACCCTGAACCCTCATTCCTTACTAAGAACCAGCCAGAGACGAAACCCAAGGTGCCAGTCTGCGGAAGGGCGGCTCTGGTAGTGGACCTCAGACCACTAAGGTTTAGGGTTTGGGGTTTGGGTTTAGGGTTTAGGGTTTAGGGTTTAGGGTTTAGGGTTTATGGTTTAGGGGTTTAGGGTTTAGGGTTTAGGGTTTAGGGTTTAGGGTTTATGGTTTAGGGGTTTAGGGTTTAGGGTTTAGGGTTTAGGGTTTAGGGTTTAGGGTTTAGGGTTTAGGGTTTAGGGTTTAGGGTTTAGGGTTTAGGGTTTAGGGTTTAGGGTTTAGGGCTTCCCGCAGCGGCATCTTAAACGCAGAACGCTGCTCCCTTGGAAGTGTCCCCAAGACTCGGGGGGCCCTTGGGAGAATTGAAGCCGCAGACTACATCCCTGGGAAGTTCATTCCAACATTTCCGTTAAACACCGACCCAGGAGGCTCGAAACCCTTTGGACTGAACTCACCCCTAAACCTTGGGTTTAGGGTTAAGAGGTTAAGGGTTTTGGGTTTAGGTTTAGGATCTAGGGTTAAGGGTTAAGCGTTAAGGGTTGGGGTTCAGGGTTCAGGGTTCAGGGTTCAGGGTTCAGGGCTCAGGGTTCAGGGTTCAGGGCTCAGGGTTCAGGGTTCAGGGTTCAGGGTTCAGAGTTCAGGGTTCAGGGTTCAGGGTTTAGGGTTTAGGGTTTAGGGTTTAGGGTTTAGGGTTTAGGGTTTAGGGTTTAGGGTTTAGGGTTTAGGGTTTAGGGTTTAGGGTTTAGGGGGCAGGCTGGGCCTTCTGATACTTCACCCTTTGCTCCGGAAGTGCCATCAGGATCACCGTGATCCGAAGGGGAGCCTGCAGCTGAACCCACTCTGGAACTAGGGTTTAGGGCCCACTCTGGCCTGGTTTTAGGGTTTAGGGTTTAGGGTTTAGGGTTTAGGGTTTAGGGTTTAGGGTTTAGGGTTTAGGGTTTAGGGTTTAGGGTTTAGGGTTTAGGGTTTAGGGTTTAGGGTTTAGGGCCTACTCCGGCCTGGTTTTCGGGTTTACGGCCTACTCTTGGCCCAGCTTTAGGGTTTAGGCCTACTCTGGGCTGGCTTTAGGGTTTAGGGCTTGGGCCCCGGGACGCCAGAAAGAGAAATTTTGAGCATGCCGGGCAAGGGTTGTGAAGCGTTTTGCACAATCGAGCCAGGGTGCACAAGCTTAAAACGAAAAGTAAAATGAGCTGTGATCTAAGTCCTTTCATCGCGAAAGAACCGCCTTCGCGAGAACGAACTTTCGCAAAACTTTCGCGAGCACATCGCGGCGCAGGTTTATGCTACTGGCCCAGATCAAGGTCTAGATCCCTAAGCTGCAACAAGCCAAATTTGAGCGTTCAGGGTTGGGGTTTAGAGTTTAGCTCAGGTTTCAAGTCCAGAACCATACAGGGCCTTGCAGTTCCTTCGGCAATGGATTGGCTTCACTTTTTCAAAGATATGAATCCCAATAACAGCCAACACGCACCTCAGATGAGCGCCGTCCTTGGAAAGGCTGCCTCGACTTACGCGCGGAACTTTCGCCAAATATCCAGCCCTGAGAACTGCTTCCGGATCTTGGGGCTGCAAACTCTGCACGCAGGTGCGTCAGTTGCGCTGCGCATGAGAGCATAGATGAGTGTTTGGGGGTTGGAAGGACTCTATTTTGAGAGGCTATGAAGAAGTTCTCGGCTTGAGGGCTTGAGGGATTGTGGCGCTGATCAGGCGAGCCCCTTGGCTCTGCGAGTACTTCGGAGCCACCCGGGCAGTCTAGCAGGAAACTGAAAGCCTGGAAAATGCTGGCAACATGGAACAAAACCTGGGCTACGTAAGAACTGTCGCGGAAAAAAATAACTTTCGCAATCCCAGAGCGGATCTTTCGCGGAGGCATATCTTAATGCCATGCGGGTCACTGTCTTCGCGAGAGAAGACTATGAACACGGCCCCGAAGTTCCTTGACAGATGATTCACCTTTAGGACGTACCTGTTAACCTTTCCAGAAGACCTTAACTGCCAAGGGGGGAACAGTGTGAAAGGTGAACAGACTCGTGAATGAAGAACACAACCTGTCACACCTTGAGACCCTTCCAGAAGCCCCAACTCTAGGATCTCTTTACTCTTGATTCACCACATTCAGCCACCATCAAGACCCTCATGATAAGGGCCAACCATGTTGAAGTTGCAGGGTTAGGCCTTGCTGGGGTTCGGGGTAGCCTCGGCCCTTTCTGGGCTTTCGGCGTGTCAGGGCGATGCCTGTTGAAGGGTTTGTTGGTCAGGTTACCCTTGTTCCTGAAAACGCAGAAGGCCTGGGAACCCGGCCTGGCCCAGGGCCCTGCCCGGGACCCGTCCCACGGCCAGCAGAACGTCGCAAGGCCCAAAGTCCCGAAATTGAGCAACCTGCCTGCCTGGACCCCCTCGCCGGCCCCCTGGTCCAGGAATTTCGCCAGCAGGGCCAGGGGCCCCGGAATTGATGGCGCTCGGGCTGTGAGGCCGTCGGCCGAGCGTTCGGGGTCTGTCGCTCGACGGAAGCAACTCCTCGCTTAGTTCAGGGTTTAGGGGGTAGGGGTGAGGGGTTAGGGGTTAGGGGTTAGGGCTTAGGGCGTAGGGCGTAGGGCTTAGAGGGTTTAGGGTTTAGGGTTCGTTTGGGTTTGGGGATTTCAGGGCTTTGGACGTTGAGCCCGATTTCGTAGACGCCCGCACGAGATTGCAAAGCTTTCCAAACGGGCCTGTTTTGTTCTTTTGGCATGCTGAGTTTTTTTTACTTGGGATGTTCCCCCTTATACTAACACCTCTTATACTAACAGTCCTTCATAGATACGGCAACCCTTGAGAGGGCTTCCTGCTAAAACAAAGTTGAAGAGTGGGGTGTGGGTCTAGGGTTTAGGGCTTAGGGCTGGCCAGTCAGGCCCTGCATTGCAATGAGGTCCCTCAGTCCCCACAAGACCCAAGCCCTCGACCATAAACCCTTAAACTCCTAAGCCTAAACCTCCAAAGCCCTAAACCCTCAACCCTAAACCCTAAACCCCCTAAACCCGAAAGCCCTATACCTTGCAAACCCCCACACCCAGAGCTGCCCCAGAGCCTCCAGGAACGGGAACCCCTCGTCTGCACAGCCGCGAAAGAGACTGACCTAGGCCAGCACTTGGGGTTTAGGGTTTAGGGTTTAGTGTTTAGTGCTTAGGGTTTAGGGTTTTGGGGTTTAGGGTTTTGGGGTTTAAGGCTTGGGGTTGAGGGGTTTGAGGGTGTAGGGGTTATGGAATTTAGGAATGGGGTGTGAACGGCAGGTCGGGTTAGAATCAAGATTGTTGTTACAGGGAGGGTCACAAGTGATTCTACTTGGAGGTTCATGGGCACTTAAAAGCAGGGTAACTATGGGTACTTATAACGCTACTTGGAAGTACGCACGAACCTTTCAAGTAGAGGGTCCCAAGGTTGCCCTAAACCCTAAACCCTAAACCCTAAACCCTAAACCCGAAACCCGAAACCCGAAACCCGAAACCCGAAACCCTAAACCCGAAACCCTAAACCCTAAACCCTAAACCCTAACCTTGGCCCTAAACGTCCCACCAGACAGGGTCCAGGCGGGTTCCTAGAGCGGTCCCAGGAAGGGTGCAAGGGCCCTCTGAAACTCAAAAAACCCCAAAACCAAAGCGTGTTATTTAGGGTGTAGGGTTTAGGGTTTGAGGGTTTAGGGTTTAGGGTTTAGGGTTTAGGGTTTAAGGTTTAAGGTTTAGGGTTTAGGGTTTGGGGTTTAGGGTGTAAAGGTTGAGGATTCACTGTTAACCTCCCCCTGGAAGGGAGTTGCTGGGACGAACAGTCACGAGTTATCCAACCCTAAACCTCCAACCCTAAACCCTAAACCCTGAACCCTAAACCCTAAACCCTAAACCCTAAAACCTAAACCATCCGTTCATCTTTTTGGGCACTTCGCGCCGGAACACGAAGCCCACGTCGATGCCAGCAAGGGCCGTCGCAACGGCTCGCCGCTTGCTGCTGGACTCCCAGCCGTCCATTGGAAGCACCAGCTTCTTCAGTGAGCGCATGCTTCTCCTGGATACGAAAAACATTTAAAAACAAAACAAACGTAACACAAAAAAAAATCAAACCGAAAACAAGAACAAAACAAATCAAAAAACAACGAATCAAAAAACAAAAACCAAAAAGTCTAAACACTAAAAAGAAAAATCAAAATCAAACCTGCAGGAAGAGCTTCAAGGCCACCAGGAGGCCGGGATCCTCGAGGGCCTTCAACGGCGCCCTCGCGAGGTCCAGGGTCTCGATGAAGGCGCGCTGCCGCGCCCGCAGGAACCTCGGGCTTTGAGGGGGTTTTTAGGGGTTTTTTCAGGGATTTTAGAGGTTTTGGAAGGTTTTTTTAGGGGTTTGAGGGGGTTGACGGGTTTTGGGTGGTTTCAGGGGTCTTAGAGGTGCTAGGGGTTTTAGGGGTTTTAGGGGTTTCAGGGGTTTGAGGGGTTTCAGGGTTTCGAGGATCAACTCTTAAACCCTTCAAGCGGTTGAGGGTTCAGGGCTTAGGGATTTTAGGCTGTGAGGGTTTTAGTTTAGGGTTTTGAGGTTTGGGGGTTTTGGGGTTTTAGGGCTTGGGGTTTGGGGTTCAGGGTTTGGGTTTGGGATGTTCCCAGCCCTTCATAGGAATCATAGTAGGGGGTACTAGAATCCCTATTAAGGACTGCTAGTCTAAAGGGGGAACATCTTGGTGCTTCTAGGATTTGGGGTTTAAGGCTTGGAAGAAAGAGAGCTGACAGGGCGGTCGCTCTTGAACACTGATTTCAAGCCAGATGAGATACACGCTGACGTATGCGGGCTTCCGAGGCTCGGGGTACCTTATATAAGGAAATCCTACGATTTGGGGGTCTATTTTAGGGGTCCCTAAACCCTAAACCCTAAACCCTAAACCCTAAACCCTAAACCCTAAACCCTAAACCCTAAACCCTAAACCCTAAACCCTAAACCCCCATATCCCAAGGCCAGCTTGGCAGCAAGACCAGCTGCCGCGAAGCCACCTTCATCGAGTTGGGATGGGCCCGGCCCCAGGAGGAGCGAGAGGAGGAGGCAAACTGCCCCGTGTACTCGAAGTGCTGGCAGCGATGACCTCAAGGGTACGGGGTTGAGGGTCCAGGTGTTTAGTCCCGTAGAGTCTTTTTTGAGAAGAGCACGGGTTATATGAATAGAAGGTGAAAGCACACAGCATATCTCACGGGCATGCCGAGGTACGAAGCTCACACAGCGCGGCATCCGCTGCTTTCCGGGAAGCTGCCAAAAGCCGACCCAGCTCCCGGAGGTCCAAACTGGAAAGGAACTCCTCAACGCCATGGACACCGCAGGGGCCCCAAGAGCGCATGGTGCCTCCGTCAAAGTTGATCCTCAACCAGCCCTTCCTTACTTCGCCAATAACCAAGGGAGAAAAAAAAGGTTAAACTTTATCATTCCTACGAAATAAGGAAACCCAAAACTAAAGTTGGCTAAGTAAGCTTCTTGTAGTCGTGGTTGAGGTCGATAACGCGCACGCCGGCGGCAAAGGCCTCGCCCAGGGTCTTCGATGCCTTGTACTTCTCGTACTTATCATAGGCGGCAGTGCCCAGCTGCTTCGGGTTGTCCAGGGTCCAGAGCACAGCTGTGTCGCCGGGTAGCTTCCTCCATGGCGGCGCTTGCATGGGTCAAGACTGGGCGGCAAAGATGCTCTTGAGGCCAGGGGGATCAAGGATTGCTTTACGGAACCCCTAAGACCTCAACCCTAAACCCTACAGTAAACCCCAAGGCCTAAACTATATTGGGGGAGGGGAGGGGGGCGGAAGAAGGAATGCGATGGGAAGGAGAAACCCCCCCCCATCCCAAAGGCGACACAGATCAACCCTTGCACATGGACGACCACAAGGATCAACTCTACAACTCTTTGGTCGAAATCACTCAGCTCCTGGCGTCATTGAAGCGAGCAATGAAGGCCGCATCCTTGCTCCACGCTTTCGTGTTGAGGACCAAGGGGCTTGGGGATTCTATGCTTGGGGATTCTATGCTCTGAACCCTGAACCCTGAACCCTGAACCCTGAACCCTGAACCCTGAACCCTGAACCCTGAACCCTGAACCCTGAACCCTGAACACCCTTAACCCTAGACCCTAAGCCATGGGCCTTGTCTTGAAGGTAGTCCCGCATCGTGCTCTTGGGAAGCCCGGCGTTCTGCGGTCGAATCGGCGCGCCCAGAAATGGGTTCAGGGGGTTGGGGTTCGGGGTTTGCGGTTTCGGGTTTGGGGTTTAGGGTTCGGGGTTTCGGGTTTGGCTTTGGGGCTTGGGCCTGGGGCTTGGGGTTTGGCGGGGCGTAGGCTTTAACAGGCCTGAAGGCTCCCAAACTGCAAGCGCCCAAGATCGCTGTGATGTCCAGACCCTAGACCCAAAACCGAACCCTAAACCCCCCTGCTTGTAAGGTGTCTCATCGTCTTTCAAGCCCCCCACCCTGAACTGGGGGTTTAGGGTTGAGTGTGGCTGTAGGCTAACCTCAATCCCCCCCCCCCCGAGACCTAAACCATGAACCCGAAACCCCTGAACCCCAAAGCGCAAAAACTCTGAACCCCGAGCGCTGTTACCCGGCCCTCAGCCCTCAGCCCCAAGCCCTAACTACCCCAAGCCCTCCCTAAATCCTAAGCCCTAAACCCTAAACCTAAACCTAAACCCTAACCCCCTTAAAACCTAAACCCTAGACCCTAAACCATAAACCTTAAACCCTAAACCCCAGCCCTGCTGGCCGCTGGGTCCTGGTTGTACTCCCGACACCTGGTCGAGGAGGCTTCAGGGCCCACTTTCAAGTTTTGAAGTTTGGGGTTCAGGGTTTAGGGTTTAGGGCTAGGGTTTAGGGTTCAGGGTTCAGGGTTCAGGGTTCAGGGTTTAGGGTTCAGGGTTTAGGGTTTAGGGTTCGGGTATAGGGTTTAGGGTTAGGGACTTAGGGTTTTTGAGGTTGAAGGTTGAAGGCTCAAGGCACTTTGCTTGCAACTGCCCCAAACCCCAAGCAGGGCTCACGCAGTCTGACGCCGTTTTGGGGCAGGCTCGTGCATCCCAGACCCTGTGGCCCCTAGATGTCCAGGGTTTCAGGTTCAGGGTTTCGGGTTTAGGGTTTAGGGTTTAGGTTTTAGGTTTTAGGGTTGAGGGTTTAGGGTTTAGGATTCAGGGCACAGGGTTGCCCCCCCCAGACCCTCACATCTCAGGGTTTAAGGGAATTGTGGCCGGCTTGGCTGTAAGCGGCACTCTTACTCGAAGCAGTCGACTCGACTCCTAAACAAGGGTCCCAGAGTCGTCATCTGGCACCGTCCATCTGGAAGGTGCAGGGTTGAGGGCTTAGGGTTGAGGGTTTAGGGTTTCGGCGGCTCTGAAATGAAGGCTTTGGGGTACAGGCTCTGGGCTCAGGATACAGGGTTGAAGCCTTTCAGGCCTGGGTGCAATGTCCTACAGGCCCCTACTAGACCCCTAAGCCCCCTAAACCCTAAACCCTAAACCCTAAACCCTAAACCCCAAACCCTAAACCCTAAACCCTAAACCCTAAACCCTAAACCCTAAACCCTAAACCCTAAACCCTATAGCCCTAAACCCTAAACCCTAAACCCTAAACCCGAAAGCCCCTAAAGCGGCAAGCTCCGAGCCGCGCACGAGCGGTGGATTTGGTCCAGGAGGCGGCCGAAGTCGCTTTGCAGCAGCCTGCTTGGGGTTTAGGGTTTAGGGTTTAGGGTTTAGGGTTTAGGGTTTAGGGTTTAGGGTTTAGGGTTTAGGGTTTAGGGTTTAGGGTTTAGGGTTTAGGGTTTAGGGTTTAGGGTTTAGGGTTTAGGGTTCAGGGTTCAGGGTCTAAGGGTTTAGGGTTTTGGGTTTAGTGTTTAGGGGTACTTACCAGTAGGGTTGCAAGTAGGGGCAACTATCGACCCTAGCCCACCTCCCAACCCTCAGCTACAACAGCAGAGCTCTATGGCCTGAACCTCAGATTTAGCTCTAATGACTCTCACTACCAGCCAAGCGCGAAGGCTTGGGGAAGCTCGCTTCTTGGCCCAGTGAGAGGTCTAAACCCGCCAAACCACAAGCCCTCAAACCCGACACGAAAACTCCCAACCATAAAACTTGAGACCCCTAAACCCCTAAACTTCTAAACCCTCCAAGCCCTAAGCCCAAAGCCCAAAGCCCGAAGCCCGAAGCCCGAAGCCCTAAGCCCTAAGCCCTAAACCCTAAACCCTAAGCCCTAAACCCCATTCTTGCCAGCCCGGGGGCAAGTCATGGGGAACCACCCCACTGGAGCTCCGTTGGTCGATGTCTGGCAGGGGGCAGAGGCTGTTGGGGTGTAGGGCTCGGGGCTTCGGGCTTGGGGCTTCGGGCTTGGGGTTTGGGGTTTGGGGGGGTTTTGGGGTTTAGGGTTTAGGGTTTGTTTAGGGGGTTAGGGTTTAGGTTTAGGGTTTAAGGGTTGGGGTAGGGTTTGTTTTAGGGTTTGGGTTTAGGTTTAGGGTTTAGGGTTTAGGGTTTAGGGTTTTGGGTTTTAGGTTTAAGGGTTTAGGGTTTAGGGTTTAGGGTTTAGGGTTTAGGGTTTAGGGTTTAGGGTTTAGGGTTTAGGGTTTAGGGTTTAGGGTTTAGGGTTTAGGGTTTAGGGTTTAGGGTTTAGGGTTTAGGGTTTAGGGTTTTCGAGAGCGCCAAGTAACGGCACAAAGAAAAGGAACAGTAACAGCGCAAAAGAGAACAGCAGTAACGGCGCAAAAAAAACAACAGCAACAGCGCAAAAGAGAACAACAATAAATGGCATCGACCTAGCCTTTGCAGTGTCATACACATATTCATCTTACACACACATAGACATTAATACATATATATATATATATATATACATATGCCTATATATATATATGTATATTTATTTATTTATATGTAAAAATGCATGTATAAAAAATATATACTCGTCAACCCTAAGCCCTACGCCCTACACTCTGTTTTCGCCGACATCCACGTTGGCTCCGGGCGGCCTGTCTACTGGTGGCAGGAAGCAGGCGTTTTCTGTTTTTTTCTCTTGGGTTTAGGGGAAACCCCTAGCTCTAAACCCTAAACCCTACACACCGTAACCCCTAAACCCGAAGCCCTAAACCCTAAACCCGAAACCCGCCGAGAAACACCTGAGCCCTGCCCTGCTTCACAGCAGCGCTGCTGTTCGGGGGTCGCCGGAGGTCGCCATCTGGCGTCAGACTTGAGTTTAGGGTTTCTTACACCCCGGACCCTACACCCTGGACCCTGGCCTTGACACTGCAAGCCCTAAATGGGCCGTAAACCCGAAAACCAAAATCATGCACCACCCCAGACCGAAAACCCTAAACCCACAGTCTCTACACCTGAAGTCCCCAAACCCTCTTGCCAAAATCGCTTCAGGTGAAGGGAGTGGAGCTTCGTGACAGCATCCTCCAGCTTCAACCTAAACGTGAAACCCTTACACCTAAACCCTAGACCCTCAACCGTAGGCCCTATAAGCCCTAAGCTTAAACTGTGGCACTTCTTCAGCTCCTGATTCGCCCTCTCGGCGATACCTCCACCCTCCACCTGGCGAAGAAATGACTTATGGGCTTCCTCTATGAGGGTTTAGGGTCTGGGGTTTAGGGTCTGGGGTTTAGGACTTTAGGGTTTAGAGTTTAGGGTTTAGAGTTTATTGTTTAGTGTTAGGGTTTAGGGTGATGCCCCGTCTGCCATAGCGAAAGTGCTGCTGCATACAAGGCTGGGTTACCTGCTCACCAAAGTAAACGCCTCGTACGTGGGAGTGGGAGTATGAAAAGAGCAGATTCCACATCCTCAGGCTTGCTTCAACAAGAAGCACAATGCCAGCAGTCTAGCGGCCATTCGCCCGCCTCCCCTCCTCAGGAGGTTACTACGGGTTCGAAGGGCTGAAGCTTGGCGCTGCAGATCAGGCAAAGAACTATCTCCCGGCTAAGGGTTCTGACGCATTATATAAATGACAGTAAACGCGACTACTCTGAAATTGCACTTGTCTGCACGCAAAAAGTGAGCTTCGGCCGACTAGTCCTCCTTAACGCCGGCGCGGCCTTACGGCCCGCTGGGGTTGCAAAACTCTAGCCTTCCGACGTCTAGCAGGCTGAGCGGCTTCGCCATCTGCTTCGTCTGGGCGCGGAACCACCGGCCGCGGCCTATATTCAGGCCGGGACCGTCTAGCTTTCTTGCCAACTCTACGTCACGGGGCCTGCGAAGAAGCTTCTGAATCAAAAGCAATCGGAGCGTCTGCGGCTGTTGCCATGGTCTGGCTTGGAAACAATCGGATGCCAAGACGACTCAGGATGGCGTAAGCATGTGAACAGTGGCCTTTTCGACGGAAGAAAAAGCAGGAGCAAGTTGTTGAAGGCTCGCCTGCCCGGTGCCCAAAACGAAGAAATGTAGGTGACCGAACTAGAACCGCGGGCTAGTGTTAGTGTTGAACGCGGACCTTGCCTGCCCCATGCTGTACGTGCGCCACGAAGCACAAGTCGATCCAGTCCTCGCGGAGCTTCTTGAACAGCATCTTCTGGTCAACCAGAGCCCCACCCTCCTCGAGTAACCTCTGCAAACGGTCAAGGTTTTTCTCCTGAAGTTGTCGCCAAAGGTACTCTATTCTGGCGACGTCCAGCTCCTCGGGAACGCCGCATTTCATGAAGAAGCACCGGCCGCTGCCTCGAGATCGAGATTTTTCCACAATGGTGCCTGGACGGCGCCGAGCGTCCTCCAAGATGCGATGGATGGTCGGCATGGCCATGGTTCCCAAGGCGGGGAGACGATTGCGATAGAGCACATTGCCAGGGCTCGTCATCCAAGCATCTGGGTTCAGGGGAACCGTACCGGTGTAGCCTGCTGGGGTGAAGAGGTTGTAACTGCTCTCCAGCGCCGTTCTTTCCCTCCAGAGACCCGCTGCTTCCTTCGCAGTCTTCAACACATCAATGGCAGTCCTTTGAAGCACGACCTACACTCTAAGCCCCAAAGGAGCACCCAGCCTTAAACCCTATCCCCCAACACCCTAAACCTTGCACATTTGAACCGCAAAGTCCTGGTCGGGCTGTTGGAGATGGCCCGCTTCAGTGCCCTGTGACTTTGCTCGGCTTGCTGTTGCGAAGGAGGATGTCCTGGAATGACGGTGGACATGTGGCCATACCACCACCTTGTGGCCAGACACTCCGCCTGCCCATATTTGTCTGCCTGGAGGGTTGCTGTGTAGCAATATTGCTTGCGAAAATACTCGCACCACTCTGGGCTCATTCCAGCCGTCAGCATCGGCCACTCTCGCCAGCCAGACTCTCAAGGCGATGATGTGCAGGGAAAGCGTAGGAAGCAAAGCCAAAGTGTGCACGGTGGATGCCATGACATGCAGGGGTCTGGCCTTCAGGCGTGGCACTCTCAGCATCTCACCCCCCTCTGCCCGATTCCGACTCTTGGAGACGTTATGGAGCAAATGTTCGATCCCGGGAATGTATTTCATGGACGCTGCCACTGCCCGTCCAGCTTCTTTCATTCCCGGAAACCAATCTGTATGGAGCTGACAAGCAGTAGGAAGGTTTCGCTCTTGTAGCGCGGCGTGCACCGCATGCAAAGCCCGCTGGTGAACGGCCCCAAGCTCCCGGTTGTGGCGGGCCATTCCCAAGAAGAAGCCGCTCTTCCTCCAGCGATGATCCAGACAGCGGTACACAGTCGTCACGGCTGTGTAAGTCCACTCGTCCCGTTCCAAATTGAATGTTGCGTCGCTGGCAAGCAGGACCTTTGTCAAGTACCCCTGCTGGTGGAGCAGCTGCAGCTCATCCAACACCGGTGGGAACAGGCAAATGTACGAGCCACCTCGGGATGCAAAATAATGTTAGCCTCATTATTACGAACACTTTACCGGAAGGCCATTTTCCAACTCCACCTGGCGTCGCCGTTGTAAAGAGCAGCAAACCAGCAGGATCCTTGTGGCCCTCGATGAAAGCATCCCAGTCTGCCTTCGAAACAGTTGGCGGCTGCTGCTTCCGTGAAGGTTTGGCCTGTCCATCCTTCAGCAGAAGCTGCTTGTTCTTGGACCAGACGAAGTAGCGGATGGATCGGGCATTCATCTTGCACCAGCCAGTTTCCTCGCCACTCTGGTGGGAGTTACGGTTTCTCCAGCGTCCCTGAGTTCAGACATGGCGCGCTGCACGTGCTTTTTGTCTTTCACAGTTGCTGGCGATGCAGATGCGGCATCCGCACGGAGCTTCCGAGGGGTGCCGCTGCAGCTGCCAGCAACGGATATGTCGAGATGCACAGCAACATGCCGACCGGACCAAGCCACAGTGCCTCTGAGCTGGAAGCTCTTTCCTTTCCTCGAGTAACAGTTGCTGCCCTCAACACAAATACAAGTGGCCCTGCGATCTGACTTCGTGGTATACGGTGACGACAATTTTCCCAGCTGCTGCTCTTGCTTGTCCATCCACCATCGACAGGCTCGTAGAAAGAAGTCCTCTTCAGTCTCTGCGCGCTGCTGCTCTGAAATCGGACCTCTGTGTCAAAAGAGTACTGCGCGCTGTCCAAGGGGTTGTAGGATTTCCTGGGTCGCTTAGGCTTGTCTTCGCTGTCAGACACAGACACAATCTGCAGAGCTTCGGCCATGGATGCAGATTCTTCTGGACAGACCCTTCATTGAGCCTATAGAAGCAATGTTTTAGCAGGAATTGCACTGTGAGTCGACTGCAAAGTGCCGCAACCCTGAAAACACCGGCTGCCTCGCGGACTTGTCGTCGAGCTCTTTGCTGGGTCACTCCGTCGCAGTCGCTTGGATGCAGGCCTCGGTTTGGTTGGCGGACATACTTGCCAGAGTCCATTGCCTATACACTATGGAAACATGGCTTGCAAAGCAGGCTGACTCCCATACCTGATCTTGATCAGGCCTCAACAAGGTTTAGGTTCCCTACCAACTGCTTTCAGGTTTGAAGATGCCACCAAGCAGCTGTCTACGGACAAGACGCAGACGAAGGCCTGCCGGAAGAGCCCCGAAGTCGCCAAAGCTTAGGGTTTCAGGCTGTAGTGTGGCTTTCGGGCTCTGATCTGCTCGACAACACTTTTGACCACACAGAAACGGGCAAGCCTGCGAGTGTCCCCCATGAGTGCTTCCAATACTAATTACGTGTTTCCCCGTGCGGCCAGCTCCGCTGCCAGCACTCTTCTCACCAGCACGATTTTTGCGCCATTCACTTTGGCACCAAGCTCACTCAAGCGCGTTCTCAGCTGCGCCACCTGACGCGTCATAAGATTGCTAGCTGCGCGACATTAATTTTGCTGGCTGAACCAAGGCGAGCACAGTGAACTGGCAAGCCAACGCAGATTCCTCGGGATCCATTGCAGTTTCCTGGCATCAGGGGGCAGGAGAGACACAGTGCTTCTGACACGCGTGTGAACGTGATTTTGGCCTTGTCTCCGCGCTGCTTCCTTGATGTTGTCCTGCAGCACTGCTCAGCACATCATCCTTCGAGCCCTACCCCCAGCCAAAAGCAGCCTTGGCAGCAGGCGCAACATTGGTCGCATCGTTAGCCTCGCTCATGCGCGCAGCCTCACTGCAACAGTCCCTTCTCGCCCCTGCGCAATTCAAGACGTGACTGCAAGGCCAGCCTCAGCAGCAGGTGCAGCATTTGCTGCGTCGTCAGCAGGCGCAGCATTTGCTGCGTCGTCAGCAGGCGCAGCATTTGCTGCGTCGTGCGCTGCGTCGTGCGCTGCAGCAGGCGCAGCATCGTGCGCAGCCTGCCCATGCAAGGTTAGCAGCAGCACTGCCTATGAGGTGGGCAGCAGCCCGAGGCCCATCGGCCTGGTCCGCGCGCGCCTGCTTCTTCTTCTTCTTCTTCTTGATGCTGTCCTGGGGCACAACAGGCACGCGTCTGAAACGCGTTTCTTCAACCATAAAGACATCACATCGGCCTTGCCCGTGTGCTTCCTTTTCTTGATGCTGTCCTGGGGCACAACAGGCACAGCGCCTTTGACACGCATCTGCATAGCCCCAGACCGCCTCAGCAGGTGCAGCACTTGCCGCGTCGCACGCAGCCTGAAGTTGGCAGGTTGCAACACTTGAACCCTGCGCAGTAGAAGACAGCCTCGGCAGCAGGTGGAGCTTTCGCCTCGCAACTTTTATTGCGACTATGAATCCAAAAGAGCTCGGAGCCTTCTTCGATGTCCATGCATGCCTGGAAGGAAACGAAATTTCTCATCTTATCCGAGTAGACCAACTTCACATTCGGCACCACCGTAATTTCTCCCTGCCACGCAAGGTCTGCAAGCTTCTGAATAAGGTTCTAAGCAGCAGTGCATGAAAAATGCTTCAGGTCATGGAAAAACATGTCGGTCATGCCTGGCCTGAACTGTTCATGTATGTCCAGCAATCACTCGGTCCGCCCCGCAGGTAAAACTGCGTTGTTCGGCCAATCCCATCCAAGCCTCCAGGAAAACGTGTCCACGCGCAAGAAGAATAGACATGAAGGAGAAACCCACCACTGCCCTCATGCGCCCTAGGCACATGGCACCACCAGGATGTACTCATGCTGCCCCAGTCCCGCATCATGGAGCGCCGTGGCAGTCCACCGTTGGTCACGTAGAGTGAAAACAATATCCCCTTGGCGGAAGGAACTGGTAGTGTACAGGCCACGCTGCTTGATCAGCTTGGACGACGTTGCTACCTCGGGGCAAAATGGGACAGAATGAATCAGCTGATGCGGAACAGCACTGAAACAACTAAACCCGAAACCCTAACCCTAAACTCTACGGGCCCACGTGCCCCTAGGGTCTAGGGGTCTGCGCGCTCTATGGGCCCGCACGGGCTCTAAGAGCTCTATAAAGGCTCTATAATCTACAAGCTCTAAGGGCCCTAAGGACTCTAAGGGATCGGGGGCTCTAAGGGTTCTAAGGTTTCTAAGGGCTTTAAGGGCTCTAAGGGTTCTAACCTAAGAGGGCTTTCAGGGCTCCAAGAACTCTAAGGGATCTAATGGCTCCAAGGGCTCTAAGGGAAGTGCTCGAAGGTTCAAGGGCGGGGTTTAGGGTTTAGGGTTTAGGGTTTAGGGTTTAGGGTTTAGGGTTTAGGCCTTCTAAGGGCTCTTAAGGGCTCTGAGAAACGCTACGGGGCCCACGAGTAGCATGGGAGTCGGGCTCTAAGGGCTCTGGAGATCAGACTCGAACACTAAACCCTAAACCCTCAACCCTCAACCCCCAACCCTAAACCCTAAACCCTAAACCCTAAACCTTAAACACCAAACCCTAAACCCTACACCCTATAGACCCTAAGCCCGAAGCCGTAAGCCGAAAACCCAAAACCCAAAACCCACAACCGCGGCTCTGCTCGCGTGCTGCGCTGCATCCCGCAATCCACGCCAAGCTGCGCAAACCCCAGCATTGATTTCTTCTCGCGCCCGAACGAGAAGTGGGCAGTGCTTCCTGGCAATTGACTCGGCCTTGCTGTCGCAGGACTCGTCTGGCTTCAAATGCGTGGGTTCCAAACGCATCTGTCTGCAGAAGCCTTAGTTTTTTTTGTTTCGGAAATATCGCCGCGACAAATGGCAAACACACTTCAAAGTGTGAAGCGGCCATGTAACCAAGGCAAGACACCGCCTGCCTCAACATCGGACGTGTTCTCAAGTTCACCCAAGCCAGCAGGGTCTGAGAAGCGTGGCACTTGCAGATCAATGTCCGCGAGCTGGCTGCCGGTTTGCGTGGGTTTCATTTCGAGCTTGCGCCTCGGAGCCACGAGGGCAACAACACATTGTTTAAAGAACATGCCAGCAACCAAGGCAACATCTGCACACTCCATGCCCTGCGGGCCTGCACACATGGACTTCATCTTCCAGCTGAAACAGCTTCGCTCGCAACAAGCTCAAGCGGTTGCTGCCACCCTGCTGCGACGGAGAAGTCAGCAGAATGAACTTGCCTCCTTCGCGAAGCACTTGCTGCGCCAAAGGATGCGGGTCTCCTTGCTTGGAAGTTCATTGGGGTCCCTACTATTTGGGGGTCTATCTTGGTGGTGCCGACTTTCGTAAGCGCCAACACCTCAAATCCACGATTGCACGCAGGCCCCCTCCCTTCCCTCCGGTCCGCGTTTTCTGCAGGCGGGACAGGCGATGTGACGGCGCGGTCTGGCTCTCCCGCTGCATCCTTGAAATCCATCATTCACCCCGCGGTTAATTTGTTATGGAAATCTACTGGGGATGGACGAACAAGGAGGAAGAAGCCCGAAAATGAGGCAGTGACTGACCTGGCGCTAATATTCGACCTAGTGAGGTGGCAGCTGCACCATTATAGTTCCAGAGAGTCAGGTTGACCCTGGATTCCTCACTTCATTCTTCTTGCTGGCTGGTTGGCGGTCAAGTGAAGCTGATATTGGGGCCTTAAGCTGTTTTGGAGAGAAGCCCCATGGACCCTCTGAAGAACCTGAACCCATGGATCCTCTGAAGCCTGAAAATGAAATTCGTAATTTCTCCACTCCCTTCCCTTCCCTCCGGTCCGCGTTCAGGACGGGCGATGTGACGAGTGGAGATTGGAAGCTGGCACGGTCTGGCTCGTCCTTGCCGTACATGCAGGGCTCGGGTTTAGGGTTTAAGGTTTAGGGTTTAGGGTTTAGGGTTTAGGGTTTAGGGTTTGGGGTTTAAGGCTTAGGGTTTAGGGTTTAGGGTTAAGGGCTTCGGGTTTATTAGGGTTGTTTGCAAAGCTTGCCCCGAAAGCCCATCCTCCGTGTCAGCATCCGGCATATCTTTGTCTAGTCTATAAGTGACACCGGCGAAGTCGACAAAAACAGGCTCTCCCTTCTCGAGCTCGCCAAGCACTTCAGCATACTCATCTTTTGGCAAAGAGCACAAGCCATGCCGGATTTGCCGCGTGATGTCCAGAGACGGATGTTGAGCACGTTCGCGCTTCGGGGGCGAAAGCGATCTCCGACGGATCTTGAGGTCCTAAATTTCTCCCATTTCCTCTCCGAAATGCTAGAGAAGTTTCCCTGAAACTATTACAGACACATGTACACGTCTTAAGGGGGAAGCCAAAAAGCTAAGAAGCCTATGCTCGGCCATTTGGGCTAACGAGACCCCCCTGCGTCCTCGTCCTGCGCCAGCTCGGCCGAAGTCACAGGTGTAGTCGGGGTTCTGCACACACGATCGTCGGCAGGTGTGCAAACGATCGCATCATCGTCAGGGACATGGCCGTCTTCAGTCCGACGAGGCATCGTGAGGGCTTCAGCTCCGCTAGTGCTCTCATGGTCAGGGTTTGAGGCAGTCTCAGTCTGCAGCTATGGGTTTCAAAATCTCAGGTTTGCACAGAAGGGGTCTCGGGTTTCATGGCATTCATGGAAGGGGCTCAGGTTTTTGGGACAGGGTTTCAGGCCCTCAAAGGGTCGGGGTTCTGATAGAACATCCGGTCTTGAACCTGCTGCCTTCGCAGCACAGATACACAGCGATGGAAAGATTGCTTGGGACCCTTCATGCTTTGAGAACTCGGAGCTATCCCTTCCAGACACACAGCGATGGAAAGTTTGCTTGCGAACCTTTCATGCTTTCAGAACGAAGTCCCTTCGAAGAAACCAAACCCTGGCAAGCCACGCAGGCAAGGATACCTCGACCATCGGTGAACACACGCGAGCTGGATCC